CCCAACCCAACACCACCGAACCCAACACCACCCAACCCAAGCCGACCCCACTTAACCCAACCCCACTCAACCCAAACCGACACCACTCAACCCAACACCACTCAACCCAACCCAACACCATACAACCCAACCCAAAACCACTCAACTCAACCCAACACCACTCAACTCAACCCAACACCACTCAACCCAACACCACTCAACTCAACCCAACACCACTCAACCCAACACCACTCAACCCAACACCACTCAACCCAACACCACTCAACCCAACACCACTCAACCCAACACCACTCAACCCAACACCACTCAACCCAAACCGACACCACTCAACCCAACACCACTCAACCCAACCCAACACCATACAACCCAACCCAAAACCACTCAACCCAACCCAAAACCACTCAACTCAACCCAACACCACTCAACTCAACCCAACACCACTCAACTCAACCCAACACCACTCAACTCAACCCAACACCACTCAACCCAACCCAACACCACTCAACCCAACCCAACACCATACAACCCAACCCAAAACCACTCAACTCAACCCAAAACCACTCAACTCAACCCAACACCACTCAACTCAACCCAACACCACTCAACTCAACCCAACACCACTCAACTCAACCCAACACCACTCAACCCAACCCAACACCACTCAACCCAACCCAACACCACTCAACCCAACACCACTCAACACAACCCAACACCACTCAACCCAACCCAACACCACTCAACCCAACCCAACACCACCCAACCCAACCCCACTCAACCCAACCCAACACCACTCAACCCAACACCACTTAACCCAACCCAACACCACTCAACCCAACCCAACACCACTCAACCCAAACCGACACCACTCGACCCAACCCAACACCACTCGACCCAACCCAACACCACTCAACCCAACACCATACAACCCAACACCACTCAACCCAACCCAACACCACTCAACCCAACCCAACACCACTCAACCCAACCCAACACCACTCAACCCAACCCAACACCACTCAACCCAACCCAACACCACTCGACCCAACCCAACACCACTCGACCCAACCCAACACCACTCAACCCAACCCAACACCACTCAACCCAACCCAACACCACTCAACCCAACCCAACACCACTCAACCCAACCCAACACCACTCAACCCAACCCAACACCACTCAACCCAACCCAACACCACTCAACCCAACCCAACACCACTCAACCCAACCCAACACCACTCAACCCAACCCAACACCACTCAACCCAACCCAACACCACTCAACCCAACCCAACACCACTCAACCCAACCCAACACCACTCAACCCAACCCAACACCACTCAACCCAACCCAACACCACTCAACCCAACCCAACACCACTCAACCCAACCCAACACCACTCAACCCAACCCAACACCACTCAACCCAACCCAACACCACTCAACCCAACCCAACACCACTCAACCCAACCCAACACCACTCAACCCAACCCAACACCACTCAACCCAACCCAACACCACTCAACCCAACCCAACACCACTCAACCCAACCCAACACCACTCAACCCAACCCAACACCACTCAACCCAACCCAACACCACTCAACCCAACCCAACACCACTCAACCCAACCCAACACCACTCAACCCAACCCAACACCACTCAACCCAACCCAACACCACTCAACCCAACTCAACACCACTCAACACAACCCAACACCATTGGTGGGGACAAGTCCTCAGGGGTCCTAATAGAGACCAAATCCCCCCAAATACCAACCATAGTCATATTAACCATACAGAGCTCCCCATGACCCTATTGCAGAGCAGATGGGGGACTAAAGAATCCAGATCATCCTATATACAGAGAGGATCTCCAGAGTCTGGTTTTAGAGGTCTCATGGTTGGGAGGTCTCATGGTTGGGAGGTCTCATGGTTGGGAGGTCTCATGGTTGGGAGGTCTCATGGTTGGGAGATCTCATGGTTGGGAGGTCTCATGGTTGGGAGGTCTCATGGTTGGGAGATCTCATGGTTGGGAGATCTCATGGTTGGGAGGTCTCATGGTTGGGTAGTACATGTGTGGTCTTCCAGTTTGGGCTTCTGAGGGTTCCGGTTGGTCAGTTTTTTGGAGTCAGAGGTTCCGGAATGTTCTGTAGATTTCTCCATTTGTTTGGTTTCAGAGAGAAAACATCAGAATTTTTGAGGATTTCTCTTTAGAGACGACAACAGAGAACCAACCAGAGTCACAGAGAACCGAGGTGAGCAACATCAGTGCACACGTATGTATGTATGTCCCCCATAGAGAGATGTCTCCCGGTCTCCTCATATAGAGATGTCTCCCCATAGAGAGATGTCTCCCGGTCTCCCCATAGAGAGATGTCTCCCGGTCTCCTCATAGAGAGATGTCTCCCGGTCTCCTCATAGAGAGATATCTCCCCATAGAGAGATGTCTCCCCATAGAGAGATGTCTCCCGGTCTCCCCATAGAGAGATGTCTCCCCATAGAGAGATGTCTCCCGGTCTCCCCATAGAGAGATGTCTCCCCATAGAGAGATGTCTCCCGGTCTCCCCATAGAGAGATGTCTCCCCATAGAGAGATGTCTCCCGGTCTCCCCATATAGAGATGTCTCCCCATAGAGAGATGTCTCCCGGTCTCCCCATAGAGAGATGTCTCCCGGTCTCCCCATAGAGAGATGTCTCCCCATAGAGAGATGT